AATTAAAACGTAGGCTTGTAGACAAATTTCTAAACAGTCTTATTAAATAAGAAACACAGAGCCAAATATAGGGGTGAAGGCCTCAGAGATCAGAGAAATAGTGAGAACCACCAGCTAACCTTAGCTCACCACGCCACTGTAGCTCCCAAGAGAGAGCTTCCTGTCTAACCTGTGCCTTTATTGCCTTGCTGTTCTGCCTTCTCATTGGCTCTTAGCCCAGCTACCTCACTTCCTTGTTGCTACCTGTCTGTACAGACCTCCAGGTCTCTATGGTTGGTACTAGGATTAAAGGCATGTGTCACCATGCTTGGCTGTTCCCTAGTGTGGCCCTGAACACAGAGAGACTCTGCTTGCCATGTGATCGGATTAAGGGCGTGTGCTACCACTGCCTGACTTTTGTTTATGGCTGGCTATGTCCTCTGATCTCTAGGCAAACTTTATTTATTAACATACAAATAAAATAGCACCACATAGCCTGAAGTCCGAAGCAGCCACTGAGGTAGTCTAACAGACATGAAGTCAATTAGCCAATGGCAGAATGGCTGATGTAGAAATAGTTCTTAGCCCAAAAGGCAGAACAGGTACACACAGAACAAAGGGTAAAGAGAGGAGGTCTCAGGATCTCAATGGAAAGACCTGGGTCAGACTGGATGAAAAAGCCAGGCCCTGTAAGACCTCTACTTTCAGCTCACAGACACACAACCTACTTAGAATAGAAGGATGGGGTGTGAGACGCTGTGCTGGCCACGGTGAAAGTGGCCGTAAAGAGAGCAATTACATAGATTTTAGAGCCAGTGAATTACCGGGGTAAAGAGAGTTGTTTCACAGTGATAGAGACTAATTCACCAAGAGGATTTAATGATCCTAGGCATTCACACACCTTAACAGCTTCAGAATTCCTGAAGTAAGAGTTAAAAGAATTGCAGAGAGAAACAGACAGAGCTGCACTTAACGTGGAGAGAAATGGAAAGAAAACAGGACCATCAGCCACCTTGTCCTAACTGACTCCCAATGGACATTCCACCCAACGGCAGGCACAGGGTTTGCGTTATTTTGAGATAAGAACGGGTTGTAAAGCAAGCCTCAAATGTGAAGGAAGCCTTGTCAGATAACACATGCATTCTGGTGGCAGTGGCATTGATATGGGCATTAATAACAGAGGAAATGTCCAAATTCCCAAGCAACTAGGGTATTTCTAACACTTAAAGGGGAAAAATTTAAAAGACTACGAAGAATTCTGAATGAGATGCAACTTACACGCAAATACAGCATGTCAGGATTTATGGGCTGTTTTAGGAGTTGCTTGTGCCACTAAAGAGGTATATTAGAAAAGAAAACCAGCAAATTAAAATCAGAGTGCGGAGGGAAGTGAAGTGGAGAAAGGGTGGGTCAGTGGAAGAAGGTGTGTGTGGTGTGTGCAGGGCCCATTGCCACAAAGGAAAGACAAAAGGAATGGGAACTACACAAGAAACTGGCTTTTGTAAGGTAGACCAGACTGTCAAGCCTCCAGCCAGAAAGATCAGATCTGTCTGTCTGTCTTGGCCTATCCTCCCTCCCTCCCTCCCTCCCATGAACTTATTTAATGCATATGAACCTCTAGGTTTGAGCCCCAATGAAAGAGGAGGGGACCACAATGATGAAAGGCATCCCATCACTTTACATCTTACAAAATATGTAAAGCACAAATGCTGTAAAGAACATGACATCAATAAATCCAGTAAAGTAGATACAATGGTCACCTCCCCAGAAACCACCAAAGCTACTCAAAATCCAAGTAGATTGGCTGGGTAGTTCCCTGTCTGTCAAATACATTTGTCACACTTGCCTTCAATGAAAACATTAAGCCCAGATGGAGTCGCCGGTGAATTATACTAAACTATATATATTTTTTTATTTTTTTGAGACACAGTTTCTCTGTGTAATAGCCCTCACTGTCCTGGAACTCGCTTTGTAGACCAGACTGTCCTCAAACTCACAGATATCCACCTGCTTCTGCCTCCCCAGTGCTGGGATTAAAAGCGTGTGCTGCCGCCACCACCAGCCGGCGGATTGCATCTTTTTAAAAAATCTTTTAAATTTATTTTTAATTTATGTGTGTGAATGTATTGCCTGAATCTATGTATTTGTAGCATGTGGGTGCAGTACCATTAATGACCAGAAGAATGTCCTAACCATCAAAACCTGGAACTGTAACCACCTGGAACTGTAGTGACAGATAGTTGTGAGCCACCACGTGGGTGCTGGGAGCTGAATACCTGAATCCAGCTGTTAACTGCTGACTCATCTCTCCAGTTCTCCACCCCTTTTGAGACAGGATCTCTTGTAGCCCAGGCTGACCTCAAATTCACTATATAACCGATGACCTTGACTTCTTTATTCTTTTATACCTTCTGAGTGCTGGGATTATAGGTATGTATTACCATGCATGTACAATGCCAGAGACTGAAACTAGGGTTCACGAATGCTAGGTAAGCATTCTTCCAACCGAGCTACACCTCCAGCCCACTATATGAATTCTATCTCAACAAAGCTGGAAACAGCCCTGGTGTCCATCAACACATGGTGAATGGGTGAACAAATATCTCTACAATGGAACACAGACAACCATGTAGAGGAACTCTCTGTACACACAATGACATGGATGAAAGTCATAAATAACATGTAGAGGGAACAAACCCAGACACAAAAGGCGCTTATGTATTAGCCCATTCATGTGATGTTCAAGAACAAATAAAATGAGGGATGATGGTAAAAAAGAAAAGAAAAATCATGATCCATTCTCTCTGCTGAGCATACATGTAAGAATTCTTCCTTTTTAAAGATTTGTTTATTATGTATACAATGTTCCCTGCATGTATGTCTGCAGGCCAGAAGAGGGCACCAGATCTCATTATAGATGGTTGTGATCCACCAGGTGGTTGCTGGGAATTGAACCCAGGTCCTCTGGAAGAGCAGCCAGTGCTTTTAACCTCTGAGCCATCTTTCCAGCCCCCATGTGAAAATTCTTAAGAAAATGTTAGTAAATCAGATTTAACAGTAGGCAGTGTGCCCAGCAGAGTTTATTTCAGGAGTGGAAATGAGCTATCATAATTCATCATGTCAACAAACCAAAAAGGAAAAATCACACCATCTCACTAGAAAAAAGAATTGATAATATCTGACGTTCAGTCTTGATAATTCCCTTTATAAACAGAATGGTTGGAACTTTAGTTAATTGGATAAAGGACATTTTTAATAAAATTCTACAACTGACAACATACTTAATGATAGGTGGAGTGCCTTGACCCCAAGATCAGCAGAGGTCAGGAGTACCCCTTTCACTGTGTGAGGATGGGCAGTGCTGGGCAGTGCATTGAGGCCAGAGAAAGGAGCCCAGGCATCTACCAAAAAGGAATCTGTAGAGCAGTGTAGAACAGGCACCTGACTGTGCAGAAACCTGGATAACTTCAGAATGTTTCTGAGTATGAAATATGTAATGGTTATGACTGCATTCTTACAGTGAACAAGTTAATGAATGAAAAGAGAATGGCAGGTTGTGGGTTTTTTTGGGGGGGGTGGGAAGCAAGTGGGTCCCAGGTACTCTTCACATCTGATTTTTCCAACTTTCTCCAGGTGTTCACTTTGAGGATAGTAGTAAGACTCATGTTCCAGGAAACCACAATTTTAAACTCTGGGATTTATGCAAATATAAACAAATACGGTGTGCTGACTTTAGGGAAGTATTGCTTTTGGGATCCTTTGTGTTTAAAGTGCAGAGGGTATTTAGTGATAATGGCTTCTGCCTTTCACTCCCTCCCCCCCCCTCCCTCCCTCTCTCCCTCCCTCCCTCTCCTACCACCATGGTCCTATTCACCACTCCAGCTTGCCACTGCTCTCCACATACATTATGTTTCCTATGTACCAGGTACTGGCCAAGACAGCAAGGTGGTCCTGTGGCCTGAGAAACCTGAGTCCCTTTCCATCCCTTGCTGGTTCCCTTACAGCTTTTTAATTTTCAAATTCTAGGCTGGGCAAGCCAAGCCCATTTCCTCTTAAGGTCTCCCACAAACCTTATTCATCCCTCCCTTCCTCCTCCCTCTCCCCCCTCCTCCCTCTCCTCCTCTCTCTTTCTTTTGCCTTGGCTATTTTCTTACCCTGCTGCCCCTTAGCTAAAGACTCTATTTAATACTTAAACCACTTCCTCAGGCAAGCTCTTCCTGACCCCCTTTATAGGGTTAGGCGGCACCTTTACAACATTTTTTATTTTTTCTTCCTGTAAAGTTATATCTAATGCTTCTGGTATCATCTCTAAACTAAACCTTGAGAGTTAGTGCAGCTCTCCTTTGGTGCAGATGTCCTTTGGTAGCAATAGAGGTTGGTTCCAGGACCCCTAGAGACACCAGAATCTTTAGATGCATGAAAGTCTCTTTTATATAGAAGCAGAGAATTTGCATATAACCAACCTATGCATACCTTCTTGTATATTTGAAAACATCTCTGTATTACTTAAAATGCCTAATATGGCATAAATGCTATGTAAACCCTTGTTCTGTATTGTTTAGGATTAATGGCCAGATTAAAGATGCACATGCTCACTACAGTTACCGTTCAGCCTAGGGCTTGGTTTTATTTTGTTTTGGAGATGAGTCAGGTAGTCTCAAACTTGCTATGTAGGCAAGGATGGCCCTGAATTCCTGATGCTCCTTCCTCTACCTCCAGGAGTGCTGGGATTCTAAGAGTATGCCACCACATCCAGCTCAGCTGAAGTGTTTTTTGATTTGCAGTTGGTTGAACCCATGGATATTGCAGGCCAACTGTGTTTCTGTTACAGGTGCATTCTTCTGAGTTGTGCAGAGGTGGGCTTCAGATTGTGTGGCACTGTGGTGTCTGTCCATCCCTTATGATGAGTCAGCCTGGACTCCAGGAGGTGTAGTAGCACCATGTGCATATAGCCAGGCTGAGACAGGCCCACTGGAGTTGCTAATACTGTGCCTCAAACACAACCACTGTATCCATTTCAGGTAACACAGGAAGAAGGGCAGCAGTTAGCGAGGCAGCTCAAGGTCACGTACATGGAGGCGTCGGCTAAGATCAGGATGAACGTAGATCAAGCTTTCCATGAACTTGTCCGGGTTATAAGGTAAGCAGAGCATGTGCTAGGTGTGTGTTTTAATAGATGACGGTGCAGCGTTGGTAGTGAGGAAGAGGGAATTGTAAGTAGGAGTGAGTGCTTCCTAGTGGGCTGGTGCACACTGTGGGGTAAATTTCAACTAAATACATAGCATATTCTAGGCACTTGCAACCCATAAAAATCTCATCTAATTATCTTAAGTTGAAGTAGAAAGTACATGTGAGGATTTTGAAAATGGTAAATGCTTTGACGGTAGTGATGACAGCCGCTAATCAAGTCTCTGTCAGACACTGAGTGACATTCTTTCAACGTTACTACATTTAATCCTTACTACGACCCAGAGAGCTGAATGGTTTCTCATACTCTCACTGTCTCTTAAGCTCTGGGAATTGAATCCAAATTTCAGATTCCTAGTTGCTGTCAAGCCCCTGCTAGGCCAAGAGCAACGCAGGCAGCCGGGATTCCATCCTCTCTCAGGTGTTGGCCCCCAGTAAGACATAAATGTGTAACATTCCAGTCTATAAAGGTGCCTCGGAGGCCTCTGGTTTAGAAAGTATTCGTGGATTGTAAGCTGCCTGAGGTGGTGGATGAGGTCTGTTGTGCATGCAGCACAGAATAAGCTGCTCGGGATTAGTTGCTTTTGAGTCCTTGAGGCTCGGTCTCATCCTCTTTCCCATCTCCTGGCTGTCTCTGCTAATTAAATAGCTTTGACAGGCATGTGGAGGGGACCCTGATCACTGTGAGTCTCAGCCAGTTGACCCCTGAGGTGTGGTTTCCTTGTGTGGAAGGGAAGAAAGCGGCTGCAAGTTTAGTTTCTGAGGTTCAGCTTTGCAGAAGTAGACAGCAGTGACAGTCGCTGGCAGTGTGAATGGACTGGGCACCACTGCACTGTAGCTTAGCAGTGTTAACCTGGAGGGTTTTGCTTCCCAGCCCTCCTCATCCCACTTCATTTTAGTGTTAACTGATAAAGCAATTCCTTCTTAACAATAATTACTACCTTAGTCAAATACCTGTCCTTCCATTTGACTCTCAAGAATCCGAGAGTCCCACCTGTCAATCACCCAGGCATAAGGATTTCTTGTAGTCTTAAGTCCTCATAACAGTTGTGAAGAGGTAGGTTTTTATTATTTCCATCTAAAAACCAAAGAGTCCGGGAAGCCAGCCAGCGTGTCTAGCACTAGAAGGTACTTTTCCATCGTCCTCTGTGGTGCAGGATTATTGCTTCAGCATATCTTTGAGTCCAGGAACTTCAGCTTAGGAAGAGAACACACACACAGGCCTCTGTCTGATTCAGGATTCACCCAGGGAAGCAGCTTGGACACCTCCGTTCATTCTGGTGTGAGGACCTCCCCCTGCTTGGCAAACAGCTCCACTCTCGAGTTTGACCCCCTCCTCTGAGCACATGCACCCTGATTTCCTTTCAAGGATTTGCTCTCACTCCTAGTGGAACTCCAAGAAGTGTGTGCATTTCAGTGCAGCAGGTCCAGAAATAACCTGCATTTGTACTGGGAGATTACTAATGGCGATACTATTCACATCTCTCCGTCTTACAGGAAATTTCAAGAGCAAGAATGCCCTCCGTCACCAGAACCAACCCGGAAGGAGAAAGACAAGAAAGGCTGCCATTGTATCATTTCCTAAGAGTTCCATGAGTTTTAGCTGACAACTGCCAGGGAAGCCCTCATCTCTGTTAACGTTTACATCATGCTGGTACCTTTGTAGCCTTAGACTGATGATCACCGTGTTAGCCTTACACCAAGAAGCTGGCTAACCCTTTCTGCGAAGCTAATGTAACGGTCTTCCCCAGACCACTGTAAAGGAAACACTAAGGCTGCTTCAGATATGATCTGATTCCTTTAAAACACACGACTACACACACAGATGCATTCTTTAAGGGCTTACATTTTAATAGGGATGAACCAAGTTTGGAAGCTAAGCTGTTTGCTAAGCTGAAGTCATAGGTTGTGAAGTCATTTTTAACTTCTGGAATCATGTTGCCTACTGTTACTCTAAATAGAAACATAGGGAGGGTTGTTTTTTTTTTTTTTAATGTGAATTTTTGCCTATCTTTAAAACTTTTGATGTCAACTTTCATTAACCTTAAATACACTGAATGGAATCTACAAAAGTGAGACATCTCAGACCTTTTCTGATGCTACGGCTTTTGTTTTCCAGTGGCCAGAATACCAAAATGCCTGTTGTATTTATGGATTAAAAACTGCTGATCAAGCCTTTGTTATTATGCCTCCTTCAAGATGACAATATTCTCTGTGGCCAAATGTTTGGCCTTGTTCTACACTTAGGTGTTTCAATGAACTTGATTTCTTTTCCCAGCCATGGTAAGGGTAAGAGTGATGGTTCCTGTCTGTCTTCCTTTTTAAGTATTCCTGGTTATGGGATTTCAAAAACAAAAACAAAAACAAAAACCCAAACAAAGTAAAACCGTTTTTGTTTGATGTAATATAAAATATGGAATTGATCTTTCCAGAGTCAGAGATGATTAATGTTTTTTGCTATATACTTTTATACGTTATTTTCTTATCAAACTAGTTAACAAGTATTTTTATATGTTTGTAAGCGAATATGCTTTCACAGCGTACCTTGTGTATATGTAAAGATGAGTATTTAATTCTCACTGTTCACTGTTAACCGACAAAGAAAAAGTGGAAACCCTTGGTCCTTGTCACATCCACCGGTGGCCAATAATCAGAAAAACTTCTCGACAGAACACAACAGGACGAGACTGTGAAGTCGCGTTCAATGTCCCTGCTAGGTTATTGACTTGTTATATCAAGTATTCCGTGTACAACCTCTACTTGACAATTAGTGTAACTGTGGATGGCTTCTGATTTTGTTTTTAACTCTGTGGATTGTGTTTAAGCAATTCAAAGTGTGTTCCTGGTTTTGCGACTCTCAGTGGTATTGCACAGTGGTCACTTTATTGAATGTGTACAACAGTCCCATGAAGTTTATAAAGTGGACCCTTGTATAGCTTCAGGTGCTAGAATTAAAGTTGATCTGTTATCACCAGACAGCGCTTGACGGCTCCTTTTTCCATGCCAGGCTTCTGTGAGGGATACAGGACCGACTCGAGTAGCCCTGCCCTTTGTACACGGCGGCGTCCTAGGGAGTTAGTTCTGCGGGTGAGCTTACAGTTCTGGTGGTTTCTTGAGGTCAGTGGTTTGTACCTTTTTCTCTGAGATGTTCTTAACAGAGAACCCCCAGCTGTAGGGGAGAGGAAGGTGACTAATTCAGATAGACCCCAAGGATGACTTCTAAAATAACTTTGGCAAAGAGGACCAGATGTTTATATTTAAACACAAACAAAAATCACTTAATTTTATTGTGTTTTGTGATTACATATATAGACTTACTGTTCAAGTTTCTGCTAAAACTCCTGCCTGGGAAGCTAGTGAGCTTGTCTTTGTCTCTGATGCCTCACTAGAACTGTGTATATCCTTGGTGGGGACGTTTCCTGGTTGTCATAGGTGACTTAGATACTAAGAGCTAGCCTGTAATATCCGGGTTTCTTGGGGGAGTTCCTCACTCTCTGCTCCACGATGTGTACTTTCATGGCTGCATCTTCAGCTTCTCCAAGCTTATTTCTGCACATGTTTGCTCTCCTGGTAATCCTGTTTAATGCATTTTCTCACAGGTTGTGTTTTGCTTTCTAGAATTTTTATAAGGTCTTACTAAGTAGACCAGCTTGATCTAAAACTATGTAGTTCAAGCTGACCTTGAGCCCAGGATTTCCTGCTTGAGTTTGAGTGTTGGGGTTGTAAGTTGTGTGTTCCACTCCTGGCTCTGTCTGATCCCCCCGTTTCCCTTCCCTCCCTTCCTCTTCTCCCCCTTCCCTCCCTTCCTCTTCTCCCCCTTCCCTCTCCTGTTTCCTTCCATCCCCTTCTTCTCTGGAGTTGTTATCTCTCTGCATAGCTCTGGCTGGCCTAGAATTCACTATGTAGATCAGCTTGGCCTTGACTTTGTAGCAATCATGGGAGGTGTTTTTGTCTCCCGTGTGCTGGAAGTACCAGGTGTATGCCACCCCCACCATGCCCAGCAAATTTCTTTTTATCTGTATCTATATATATATCCAGTTTCACTCCCCATTATGTCCGTACTTTCCTCTTAACCAGTCCTTCTTGCCCTTTCTGAGAGAGCTGAGTCCTGATGCCTCTTGTGTTACAACTTCTCACTGTGCATCTGGAATGGCAAGGTGTATTGGGAAATAATCCCTCAGAGAGCTCCACAGGGCTGGCTGACTTCTCTTGCAGAACTCTGCTTGGGAAAGCCTGCTTTGAGCATTTGAATGTGGTTAGGGTAGCACTCTGATATTCTGTTGATCCTGCACCTCTGTATGTCGTTTGTATTTGTTTCTGGTGTGTGATTTTTATTTAGTTATGATCCTGGTTTTTCACACATTCAACTTTTGCTTGGATGATGGATGTTGCATATTTTATGTTGTTGAGTGTTGATCTGGTCACCGCTTCTTCATTTGAAGGTATTTAGCTTTGTTCTGTAACCAGTTTGTGTATATTGCTCTTCAATTTGAACCTTCTGGGTCTTTTTTAAAAACTTAATGCAGTCTGAAGTAGCATTTTTCTAGGGATAGAGTAGTCCACTAGTGAATGCCCTGAGTGTAAGCACTCTCTAGCTTGGCATGTGGAAACTCAGGTAATCCCTCACCCTTTATGAACTATGTGGAAGTAGGCTTTCCACAGCCCTCAGATCTCTGCTTGACTGAGGTCCAGTGACCCATATATACACTTAATATTTGGCAAGGACTCTTTGACCCTGTGCATAGTTTGGGGGTCCCCCCCCCCCATGTAGTCTTTTTACAATACTCTAGAACATTCTACAGCAACTTCAGACTGCTTCAAAGTTTCCTTGGGCTCCAGTGTCTGTTGCCCCAGTTCAAGGAAACGTTTGTGTTCTGCCTGGAATTCCCTGGGCCTTCTGTAATTGGAGATGGTCTTTAGGCTAGAAGCCAGGGAGCCTTAAGACTCACTCTGTGTTCAATGTCCACGAGCCACTGTTTTATGTATTTAATCTCTCATACACCTTTGTTATTTTTGAGACAGGGCCTGGCTGTCTTGCCCAGGCTGGCTTTGTTCTTCTGGGTTCAAGTTACCCTCCTGCTTCTGCCTCATGAGTAGCTAGGACTTTAGGCTTATGCATAGGCCCCCCCACCCTCCATGGTTCAGTTTCTGATTTTCTCAGGCAGGAAGACTAACACTGGTTCATTACAAAGAGCTGTCTGTCTTAAGACCTGAATAGTCTGTGTCTCTTGGCCATTTTAGTTTCTCTACCTGGGAGTTGGCATCTTTCCTTATAGAGGGACATATACTAAACATCATCTTAGACTCTGTAGGCCATGTGGTCTCTGCCCCAGCTACCCAGACTCTATAGATCTTCCACAGAAACAGATACAGAAAGCAGGTAACTAGATAAGTGAATGTGACTGAAGTTGGTGCTTCATACTTTTGTCATATGGAATATTAATCTTATTCTGCATTTGTTTCCCATCCCTTCAGCTATGCAGAGACTGTTCTCCATGACAACAGGTGATGGGATGGAGTTTACTTGAGGGTTGTGGTTTGCCAAGTCCTTCCCTGTAACACTTGAGGTTTCTTCTCCAACTTCACACTCTCTCCTGCCTCTTTATTTATGTGGGATTTCAAACAGGATTTTCTGAGAGGACTGTAAAGAAATTGTGACCTAGGGGTTTTCTTCCTGTATTGCATGCTCTGATGTTTACATGTTTCAGAGCCGGACATTGCACTGTCATTGATACATGTCACTTTGACAACTTGCTACATTTGAAGCTTCAGAGTTTCATAGTGTAAGTTGATCACTTTATCCTTTGCCTTTGTAAAAGTGTGATGTCTCAGGGTTGCCTGTAACTGAGGACTAGCCTGCTTCTCCTGCAACTTTTAAACAACACGTGACTTTTCTGGATTCACTTCTTCACTGAACAGGTAACAGGCAAGTATGTAGAAGGAGATGATGGCCAACTAGATTGTTTTCAAAGTATGGTTTTAAGCAAAATATGTGACTAAATAGATTTCTTTGTGCAGGACTCTAGTAGTGGTTATGAGGTGTTCCTGGAAGATCTGAATGGATAGTAGTTTGTTGGAGCTAGGACGATTGGTAGGATTTGAGATGGGGAAGAGAGGAGAAAAGGGAGAAGGCAGGTCTACTGGGGAGAGAGTGATGCAGCACTGGCTGGATTTGGTGGGTGCTGAAGAGAATAAGTACATCAGGACAGATATGGCAGTTAGACTAGGTTGGCTTGTCAGGGCCATTTCAATGGATGGCCCTTCTGTACATAGAGACTGCCAGGGATTCTGAACTGGAGACACTGGGATCTAATCCAGCCATCATATGAATGGCGGAGGGGGGTGATAGATGATTGCCCTGTCCTAGTATCATAGGCACTGTGAGGATAGAACATGGGTCACCTATGTTACCTGCTGTGCACGGAAAAGCCATTTGATGAATGAATGTTTCCAGAGGTGTGGTGATGAAGTAACATGGGTGAAGGGGGACTGGACGTTAGAGGTGTCTCTGGGAAATGTGTGAGACTCGTAAACACTGAGCTTTGCTGTACGGAACAGTGATGGTGCCATAATTAAGGAGCATAGGAGCTGTAGTGATGGAAATGTATGGCACTCATGTAAGATAGTCAGGAAGTTAGGGTAAGGATTGGAGCTGAAAGAGGGCCTGAGACTAACTGAATTAGTGATGGAAGAGGTAGGCAAACTGGCTAATACTTACTGTTGAGTAAAGGGTAAAATTTGGGGGGAAAAACACAATTGGGAATAGAAAATTAAGAGCCAGAAAACAACTAAGAGAAGCAGCCAGAAAAGAGACAACCAGGAGTCTGAAGTATGTTGGGGGTGTGGGTCTGTGGTTGAATGCTGGGCCACACATGTATCATGCACACATGTACCCACACAAGTCAAGGGACTATACAGGAGTGGGTTCTTGCCTTCTGCCTCATAAAGGTAGAATCTCCTTTCTGTCTCTGCACTGTGTACTTTGGCTAGCTGTCACCTGGGCTTCAGGGGCAGTTCTCCTGCTGTAGGAGGGCTGGGGTTATAGATGTGCATTTCTGCATCTGGCTTTTTACATGGGTTCCAGACATTAAACTTTTGGGGATCAGGCTCAGTTTAGGCTTGTCTGCTAAGACACTTCTGGCCCCGAGAGCCTGTATTTTAAGGAAGCCCATCCCTGGGATGGTAAGAAACTTTGAGTGGCAAGTGAGGCATCAGGAGTCAGACTTTATTAGCTTTGTTCGAGGTGTCAGGTTGTAGAAACCAGGTAAGAGTTGCAGTGTGATTGGTAAGGAAATGGAGGCAGTGAGTGCGGGCTGTTGGGTGTGGTGATATTTTATTTGTGCTTTAATAAATAAAGCTTGCCTGGAGATCAGAGGAAAAAGCAAGCCATTATAAGTAAACAAAGAAGTCAAGCAATGGTAGCACACACATATAATCCTGTCACTTGGCAGGCAGAGATCTATCTGGATCTCTGTGAGTTCAAGGCCACACTCGAAACAGAGCCAGGTATGGTGGCACACGTCTTAAATTCCAACACTAGTTAACCATGGAGGTCTGGAGGTCTGTACAGACAGTCAGGAAGTGACAGTGCTGGACAGGAAGAGGAAGTGATGTAGCTGGATAGAGAGCAAATCAGATGGCAGAACAGCAAGGCATATAGGTGTGTGTAGACAGGAAGTATCTTGCATTTTGGAAGCTGCAGAGTTGGTGAGGTAAGGTTAGCTTTGGCTCTTCCTATTCCTCTGATCTCTCTCAGGCTTTAACCCCTATATCTGGCTCCATGTTTTTTATTTAATAAGACAGTTTAGAAATTGGTCTGCAGTTAGGAAAGTTCTTTGACAAAGCTGGATCATGGGCAGATGTTTTGTTAGTGAGTAAGCTATAAGGCTAGGTGGTAGCTCACGCCTTTAATCCCAGGAGTCAGGAGGCAGAGGCAGGCAGATTTCTGTGAGTTTGAGGCCAGCCTGTTCTACAGA